ATGAGCCAGGATTCAACAAGGATTACTAAACACAACTTTACTCGTACAGTAATCCAAGATGGAGGCATTCGATCTGACATGCGCGGAGACCGTGTGGTCCATAAGTAGCAAGGAAACTGGTGACTAGCCGTATCATAACAGTTTGTGCAAATAGCCAGTTTGTCTATATAAGACATGAAGTAAAAAGAAACTTACACGGTGGCTTGAAGATGTAAATTTCATTTTGTCGTATTTTAAAGACTATTGTTTTTCCACTGGAAAATAAAATTCCTATCGTCACGCCGCCGTGCAACATCCTCTAGCAGCAAAGCCTCTTTAAATTGTTATTAAATGGCGTCCTTTCGATTATAAATTTTATATTTACTTTGAAATCTCTCTTCTTTTGCTTTATTCACGGTTTTTTTTTAGTAGTTGTTTTTGTTATTGTTCTTAGATGGCTTCACTGCACTGCCTCCTTTATCACTTGCTATCCAAAGCACAGCAACGATATATTCCCCTCCTAACTTGTCAACTTCTTCACCCACAGGTGAGTGATTTGAAAAAGTTGAAAATTTTCGCTCCAGAGTATTGTGAAAGCCGTGGACGGATTATGTTATAATGCAAGCTATTATATTATGGTGCCCATCCGTATGGGCACCAACATGGCGGCCGGAAACCAACAGAAACATCTGTCATTGAGGTTTGCTTCAAAAGCGTGAATTTATCCCTCGAGGAACTCTAAAACACTAAAATAATAGTTTTTCTTAGACATGAACTGTTCAGATAGCCAAATTTCCCGAAATAAGTCACTTTTTAAACCATCATGACAGCTCTCTAGGCCGTCGTGTAAATGCCGCGTCACGCAAAAGCTTAGAAATTCAAGCGTAGTGTATCACAAAACCAAGAACTCATTCGGAGCGAAAATTTGTATGAATATTAGTTTTCAGCTGCTCTTATACATCATTAAAGTAAGCTCTCAGGAAGATCAATAATTTTGTAGTTTGAATTTTAGTGACGTCATGTGAAAACCAACTATAATCGAGTTCACAATGCTCTTCGCGTTACAAGTAGATCTATTATTTTGCTTTATTTTAGTTTTCTAATCCTCATGTTATTGTTAGCAGTTTTCAGAAAGCAGTGCCAGGAATGTATTACTCTCAGTCGTGACCCCCGGGGGAGGGGGTACTTCCTTATATGGGCTATATAGGTATGTGCGGCCCCAAAGGGTAGGGTTTTTCAGCCGTTTTGGTCAGAGATAGGGTATCGATTTTGGCAATCTAGTCTTGAATTGGGTATGTTTCTTAGAAGAAGCTACTTTTTCATCATTACAAATAAGAACGTC